CGCCTCTTGCCCCCACCATGCTCCTCCTATCAGAACAAAACCATAGCAACACTGAGCCACACACATATCACAGAGGTTTGCTTCTATACACATTGTAGTCCTGATGACGCAGAACCTGTCGATCAGGATGAAGAAGCCAATTGTGTATCACAGTTATTTTGAGACTGCAGAAGACTCAGAACCAGTTCTAAACATGGCTCAGACAGACAGTTCCTTTTTATTCCTTTGGGATACAGGCTATTGATCATACATTTGATACGAGAATAGTCACTTCCAATCTGTGTGTAGGCTGCTCACTTCTCAGTCAGTCTGTAATGCAGAAGCTCTGTAGTTCATGCAGCATCATGTGAAAATATTTTCTTAGGTCTCTTGAATTTTGAAGATCTGAAAGGGAAATCATGGCCAGACCAACATCAGGGAGATTTTGCCCAATGTTTCCTTCAGTAGTTTTACAAGGACTTTGCATCTGCCATCAGAGTCTGGTTATTCCATACTTTTCATGTAAACATCCAGACCGTGTAGCCCTTGTCAGTGCTGTTATGTTGGGGCCATGCTCAGCACTGATGGTGTGAGGACAAACCACATCCACCCCCAGCAGGCTGCTCCCAGCATTCCATGTGGTCCTGTTCAGGGCACTGGAGACCTCAGCTTCCTCCATGAGGCCTTGATGCTGAATCCACTCATGGCGTGGAGTCATCACTGGATGCACTCCACAGAGATGATGCCATTCCACGTCTCCCAGGCACCTGTGCATTTTATATGTTTGCCTTTATATTTCTTTTTAAATATATATAGATATGATATAAATTTTAAACTTTATAATTTTATTAATAACTTGTCTGTATGTATTTGCCCAAAACCACAGAGAGACTGAGACTGACAGTGATCTAACTCCTGGGTCACTTCCCAGATGGCTACAAAAACTTCAGCTGGATCAGGCAACAGCCAGGTGCTTGGAATTCTGTCCAGGGTTCCCACATGGGACTACTTGGAACTTCACCTACGGCCTCCCAGAAGGGCTTAGGCAGGAATCTGAAACTGGAACCAAACTAGGACACAGCACTAAGCATCCTGACACGGGAGGCAGCAATTCCACAGGCTCACTCCAGTGCTGCACCTGTCACCACCTTATCATCACTGCATGTACACAATTGATTTCTTCCCTTGGGATTCAGTTGTTTGTGGTCATTCAACATTAGGAAATAGGCTCCTAATGATATTTATAATTAATCTTTCAATTTTTAAAAAAATCTATTTTTTATTTGAAAGGCAGTGTTATAGCAAGAGAGGAAGAGACCAACAGATGGAGAGAGAAGCTCCCTTCCACTAGTTCACTTCCTATATGGCAGCAAAGGTGGAGCTGGACAAGCCTAGTGCAAAGAGCCGGGAACTTCCTAAAGTTTCCCACATGGCTTGAAGGGGACAAACACTTGAGTCATCGTTGACAGAGTTCCCAGGTCTGGATCCCAGCAGGCAGCTGGATTTGAAGTGGAGCAAGCAGAATCTGAACCCATGCTCCTGAGTGATGCATGCACAGGGATGTCAGCATAACATGAAGGGCCACAACATTGGCCCCCATGGGTGTCATCTGAAAATACTTTCTCCCCATCGGTGATCATATCCTTGTTCTTCATTCTTTCTCTTTGTTACTCAGAATCTGTAGTTGGATCCATTATTCTTTGTCTATGTATCTTGGTTGCCTGTACTTTGGAGATATCAAACTATCATTGCCCAAACCAATGGGAACTTACTGTTGTCAGGTGTTTTCCTCTAAAATTTACAGTCTCGGGTCTTGCCTTTAAGAGTTTCATCCTGTTCACTCTCTTTGGGATACTGGTGTGAGATGACAGCAGGATGAATTATTCTCAGGTGCATTCAAATTTCTCCAACACCATGAAATTCAGCATTCACTGTTTCCTGAAGCATTTCAGATGACCTCATTGCATGAACTCATGGGAAGCACAGGTGGACATTTGTATTCAAGGACGAATCTGTTTGGAAAGTGTGTGGTGTGGACTTACAGGTTCTGTTTCTGCTCCAGTGTGGTGGAATCCGTTGACTACAGTGCTCTCAGGGTGAACAGAGGGGGACAGTCCAGGGCCCTGACTCCGGGGCCAGAGTCCCCATCCCTGGGATCTGGCTGCCAGGGGCTGCCACACGCTGACCCACCTGGTGAGCTGAATCAGTGCTGTGTGATGAGCCAGCCCTGGACCATCTGTCCAGAGTCCCCGCTCCTCCCTCCCTGGCTCCCCCTGGCTGTCCTCATCGGTACTTCATCCTTACCAAGAGAAAATAACTCCTCTTCTGTCAAGTTCATACTCATCCAGGGCAAACCAAGTTCCTGCAGCCAGAAATGCCCAGTGCAGCGATCCCCTGTGTTTTACAGGATATTTTCTGCTAAACTGCAATTGATCTGCCATGAACAGTCTTACAGAAACTGCAGCCAGTCACTCACCTCATGCAGCAATGTGTGTTCTGAGTGACTCCCATCTAAATCCAGAGACACAAAAATTCCTACTAAATTAAAACACTTGTCACATCTCTGCCTTTTCTGAGAGAAGATTGACAAACAGAAATTGTTTCTATTTAGCTGGGGACAGTTTTCATGCATTTGCCTAGAGAATTCATTGACACAATCCACCATCTGACACAGTGAATTCCATTGTTCTGTGAGAACACCTCATATCTACAGTACTAGGAAATGTGAAATTTAATTTGTCAGATATCGACAGTCACAAGAAATTGCCCCACCAAGAGAATTCACTCAAATTATAACTGACAGAAACATATTCCATTTGTGTAAACACCACGACAGAGTCTCCCCCCAGGTGCTGAGGGGCTGTCAGTTGTATGAGACGCTGTGTCCCCAGGGTGACAAATGGCAGGACTGCACCATGGTGAGAAGAGGGTGGTCTTGTCTTGGCAAGCAGGACTGGGGTCTCTGATGGCTGTGTTTTCAAGGAGTTGGCAGGTGGGCCTTGGTGGTTCCATGAACTAACGTCTTGTGAAACCAGTTGGACACAGGGAGATTGAGGGGTAAAGTAAACAGCACAGAGAGAGGTTTCCATGGACTTGATCTGAGTGAAGACAGGGGCTCTTCTAAAATGACTCAGCTTCACACAAGGGAGGGGAGGAATTCGAGAGGGCAGTGGTGGGGCAGTTGTGCCAGCCGGACACGAAAGATAACCTCTCACGTGCCGATGAACTCACAGCCCTCGTGACTGCATTCGTACCAGCAATGATTGCAACACCACGTAATTTTCTTCTTAGAATAAAACCACAGACAGACGCAAGACAAGTCAACAGAGAATTGTCCCTTCAAAATAGATTTCATAAATGTTAAATTGACAAATAGTACCTGAATCTATATGTGAGGTATAAGGAAAGGTGTTGATGTGGATTTATTTCAACAGGAATTCTAGAGTCAGACGAACTCACAAGTCCTTCCCTAGCAACACTACCATTCTTTGTGATCGAATGACAAATGCCTACTCCTGCAGGAACTGGAAAGAACACAATAAAGCTTCATAACCATTGTCCCCGTGCTGTGCAGTAGATCTCTCCACATGCCTCTCTGGTCACAGAAAATTCTCTGTGCTTGCAGGAACGTGGTCCCTTTTCTTCTCTACTCCCAGACTCAGTATCTGCATTGTACTTCCTGCCTCTGTGAGCTCACAATTGCAGATTCCATATATAATTAAGATCATCAGGGCCAGTGCTGTGGTGTAGTGGGTAAAGCCTCTGCCTTCAGTGCTGGCATCCCATAAGGACGCCAGTTGGAGTCCTGGCTGTTCCACTTCCAATCCAGCTCTCTGCTGTGGCCTGGGTAGGCAGTAGAAGATGGCTCCCATCTTCAGCTCCCATAATCCATGGGAGACCCAGTGCAGGCAACTGGCTCCTAGATTCAGATCAGTGCAGCTCCGACCATTGTTACCAATTGGAGAGGGAGCCTGTGGATGGAGGACTTCTCTCTCTCTCTCAGTGCCTCTCCTTTCTCTATGTATCTCTGACTAAAAAAATGAAATAAATCTTTATAAAAATGAGAAAAATCACATGGTACAAAACCACATTTTTAAGAAAAAACTAAACAAAAATAATTGACCTTAAATGAATCCACTGGCAGTCTAAAAGTGGGCGGCAGGAATTAGGACACAATTGGCTAAGTCCCCACTAAGGACACCCACATTCCCATCAGAGTGCTGCTTTAGCTCAGCCACACGGCTTCCCACCATTTGATGATAATGCATCATGGGAAACTGTACCTGACACTACAAGCTAATGAGCTCCTACCACTGACGGAGGAAACACAGACCCAGTCTTTTGCTCTAGGATTTAGGAAGACCAACTCCTAGATGTTGTAGGCATTTGGTATTGTGGAGCTGTCAGTCCAAAGGCAGAAACCTCCCATTGTCAACTCACTGTCCATCTCTACATTTCTGTATCTCTCATCCATTCTCTCTCTGTCACTGTTCCAATGTCATGAGAATAGTTAAAAATGAACCAAAGGTTACTTTAAAATGAAGGACATGATATTGCTAACACTGGATATGAAGGGTACACACATATTAGAATGAAATAAAGTCATTGCCTTCAACTGTTAAAACAACAATGAGAAAAAAAAATTCATACAGTCTGAATCCTATCATAGCCATCACCCTACACCCCCAGGTCACCCACGTCTGCACTGGGCCCTGTCCTGTCTGAGGCATCTGACCGCATGCCTGCTATAGAGGGGCAGCACATGAAGATAGGGCCTCCCTCTGCCCATGAAAACCAGCCCAGCCCTCACCCTGCAGCTCTGGCACAGGAGCTCCAGCCCCAGCACTCCCAGGTGTCCACTCAGTGATCCCACTCAACACAGACGCTCACCATGGAGACTGGGCTGCGCTGGCTTCTCCTGGTCACTGTGCTCAAAGGTAATGATGGAGAACGCGGGGCACTGAGTCTGAGAGAGGACGTGAGTGAGAGACACAGAGAGTGTGAGTGACAGTGTCCTGACCATGTCGTCTGTGTTTGCAGGTGTCCAGTGTCAGGAGCAGCTGAAGGAGCCCGGGGGAGCCCTAGTCACGCCTGGAGGAACCCTGACACTCACCTGCACAGCCTCTGGATCCGACATCAGTAGCTACAGCATGGGCTGGGTCCGCCAGGCTCCAGGGAAGGGGCTGGAATACATCGGATACATTAGTTATGGTGGTAGCACATATTACGCGAGCTGGGTGAATGGTCGATTCACCATCTCCAAAACCTCGAGCACGGTGGATCTGAAAATGACCAGTCTGACAGCCGCGGACACGGCCACCTATTTCTGTGCCAGAGATACAGTGAGGGGCCCTCAGGCTGAGCCTAGACACAAAACGCCTGCAGGGGCGCGGCTCCACCAGGGGGCGCATAAGATCCACTGAGCCCGGATTCTGGTCCTGCACAGGCGCAGAGGGAGATGAAGCCCTGGTTTCCTGTCAGGGATTTGGGGTCTCCTCTCCTGTAACAGTTTTGAGGGAAGAATTCTACTTTTATGATTCTGTCCCTCCCAACTTCAATGACGGATTGAAAGTCTGATGTAAAAGGAAGAAGTCCTAAATGAACAATTTGGTTCATGGACAGCGACTGTGCTCACCAGGGTCAGAGATGTGGGAATATTGAGGACACTATTGAGTCTCTTCCAACCTGACTCAGGACAGCACCCTCAGGGCACTGAAAGCTTTGGACAGTTTCAGTTTTCCCTGTATCACCAGGGACAGCTGAGACAGGGCCGTTGATCTGTTAAACAGCAACTATTGCACTCATCCCTCTCCTGCCACAACCAGCAAGTGTGCACTGAACCAACCTTTGACTTTACATGTGGGTGATCCACACTCACTTTCTGCAGACTTTAACCCGACCTGCATTTCCCCTTTAATCCTGGAACAGTCTGTGGTCCCTGTGTGAACATCACAGCACTCAGGAATGTACTTGCAGCTCAGCTGTGTCTCAGGCTGGGCTTCTGCAGGCACCTGGGAAGCCTACAGGGACTTCCTCATCCTCTAGGTCCTGGGACCCTCCTGGGGGGCTCCCTGCCTGAACTCCGATGGGAAATGCCCTGGACATCAGCAGTCAAGGTCATCACTGAATGGAAAGTGTTGGGTGTGCACTTCCAGCTGATCTGGTTCTGCTCCAGTGTCGTGGGACCCCCTGCACGTGCTGTGGTTGAGGGAGAGCAGAAAGCGGGACAAACAGTGGCTGTGCACTCTGGGACTGGAGTCCACATCACAGGGAGCTGTGTCTGTGGCTCCAGCATGATGACCAGTGTCCTGAGGCTGAACCACAGCTGCAGGAAGAGCCAGTCCCAGAGACCATGTGTCCAGAGTCCCTGCTCTTCACTCCATGTCATGCTGACTGGAGTTATCGCTGCACTTTAGTCTTTCATCTATTTAGAGAGGGAGACATCCATGCTGCATATCAGAGTGCTGGATTGTGGGCAGCCACAGGTAGTCACTCCCTTTGTTTACACTTAAACATGTGAATGGAGACTTCCAGGCCAGACAGTTAGGCTAGGGGAGATTCCGGGAAGAGGCAGGAAGAACCTAAACCTTTCACAAGAGATGATACAGATAATCAGTCACACCTGTAACCTTCATTTATCACCTAAGTGTTTTTATTGTAACCTTAAGAGCCGTTTTGATATGTAAATCTTTTGTGCTCCTTCTTGTAAACAACTGGTCATGTTTAAATACTACTGGATTTATTCAATAAACGAGCCTTGATCAGGACTTGTCTTGGCTCCATTCTTTGCGTCCTTGTCCCCGCATTCCCACTCTCTGTTTCAGGAAGACCCAGTTCATTGTGCCGCAGGCCGGCACACTGGATGTAGCCCATTTTCACGCTTTCCCATACTTGTAGTGACAGTGCACCCTGGAAGACAGTAGATGATGGATCTGTTATGAGGCCCCATCACCAAGGTGGGAACACTGATGCAGTTCCATGCTCCTGGGTTCCAGCAGCCAAGCCTGAGTACACTGCCTTCATTTATCATCTCCATAAAACACTGGCAAACACAACACCAGTATTCAGAGATCTGAATCTTCATGATTTCCCATTTTTGCCATTTCATTATCATTAAATATTTGATAAACAATATTTAGTATAGAATATGAAGTACAATGATATGTGTTGAATAAATGAATGTATACTGAGTGGAATAATGAAGTCAGACTTACTGACATGTTTATCACAAAACCCATGTTTTCATGGTAGAATATCTTTTGCCTAATGTCTTAGAATTCTGCAGACACTATATTCGCTTCACTGCTATCACCATGCTGCACAGTAGATCCCTCAGTGTGTGGATCCTGTGGGACTGAAACTCTGACCTTGCTCCACCATCTCCTCTGTTCCTCCCAAGCACAGACGTTGGTCTTCACCATTGAACTTCTGGCTTGTTAGTTCATCCTTTTTATCCCATGTAACTAGCATCACATATTATTTGGCTTCTTGGCCTGGATGGTTTAGCAGAGTGTACTTATCCTGACATATTATCCTTGGATATTATTCTCCAGGATAATCCATGTTATCCAAGATACCAGAATTTCTTCCTCTTTACTGCCATGTAAACTTCCTGTTAAAATATAACTCTGTCCATTTGTCCATTATCCATCCTTCTTCAACGCTGATTTCACTGGATTATATGTGTGAACTCTCGAGACTGACGCTGCTTTAATTGAACATGGGACTGCAGAGCTGTTTGCCACAGTGACTGCACATCCCGTGGTCTCCTCCCTGGGATTTCATATTCCTTCTACCAGGAATGGTGTTGGAGGATCCTGTGATAATTCTATTTCTCAGCTTCTGATGTTTTCCATGAAAGCTTTCCTAATTTACCTGACTCCAGCCTTTACCAGGTTATCTTCTCTCTCTTCCTGTACAACATGTGTCAGCTCTGGTATGTCTGGTGATACTCAGTCTAACAAAGGGATGGGGTATCTCATTGTTTCTCCAACATGTACGTGCATGATGATCCCAGATAAAGCATTTTACATGTTTGCCTTTACATATGCTATTAAAAAATTACAGATATACTTTTACCTCTTTTAAAACTTGCATTTGTCCAAAAAGAAAAAGAGACAGAGACTGAGAGACAGTGATCTACTGAATCCTGGAGCACTTCCCAGATGCCCATAAAAGCTGGCATTTGGTAAGACCATAGCCAGGTGCATGGAATTCAGTCCAGGTCTCACACATGGGATTAACTCAGACTTCTCGTACTGCCTCCCAGAGTGCACATTGGAGGAGTCTGAAATTGCGACCTAAACTGGGACATAAACCTAAGCATCCTGATGCGGGAGGCAGGAATCCCAAGGCTAACTTCAATGCTGCTCCTGTCACCCACGTTGTCAGTCACTGCATTTGAACAATTGATTGCTTCCCCTGTGATTCAGTTCCAAGAGTTCATTCAACATTTGGATCTAGGCTCCTAACCATATATATAGTTATCTTTCATTTATTTTAAAAATCTATCTATTTGATTTGAAAGGCAGTGTTATGGCAATAGAGGAAGAGACCAGCAGAGGGAGAGAGAAGCTTCCATCCACTGGTTTCCTTCCTGAATGGCTGCAAAGGCTGGGGAAGGGCAAGACTGTAGCCAGGAGCCTGAACTTCCTCCAGTTTCCCACGAGGCTTGAAGGGGACACACACTTGAGTCATCGTTGACAGAGTTCCCTGGTCCATGAGCAGGGAGCTGGATTTGAAGTGCAGCAAGCAGGGTCTGAAGCCATGCTGCTGAGTGATGCTGCATAGGGATGGCAGCTTAACCTGTGGGGCCAAATGTTGGACAACCCATGTGTGACCTGAAAGTGCTTTCTCCCCATCTGTGGTTGTCTTTGGTTCTTCGATCACTCCCTTTGCTACACAGAAGCTCTGTGGTTGGATCCATTATCTTTTGCCTATTTTTGCTAGGTTACCTGTACATTGGAGATTATCAAAATATCATTGCCCAAAACAATGTCAACTCGCTTTTGTCCAGTGTTTTCTTCTAGAACTTTACAGTCTCGACTCTTGCCTGTAAGGCATTCCTCAAGTTCACTCTGTTTCTACATCTTATTTTAGGTGCATTCAAGTGTCCCCAACCCCAGGTAACGACAGGAAACCCATCCCCATCCTGTGCTTTTGTCACCGTGCATTCTCAGAACTCACATTCTCAGAACGTGTTCCTTATTTCTAGGTTCTGTTCTGTCCCAGGGCTCTGGGTGTCTACGTTATCCCAGCACCAGGCCTGATTTCAGCTCGGATGTGATGAAGCCTCCTGCTTTGCTATTTTTCCTCAAGACCATTCAGCCATCACGAACCCTGTTTTTTCATGATAATTCTTGAATTTTCTTCCTGGTCCTGTGAAGAACGGCAGGCTGTTTCACAGGAAATGCATTGAATCTGCAAATCACATTGTAGCTTGGCTATTTTAACAAGCTCATTCCCTCAAATCCATGACTACGTCATTCCAATTTACAGGTAATCTTCAGATTCCTTTTCACTTTTCAAATTATTATGTATTGCAGAAGTAGGAAGCAAGACTCCTATCTTACACCTTACACGAAAATCCACGCAAGATGAATTAAAGATCTAAATCTATGACCCTACACCATCCAGTTATTAGAGAACATTTAGGAAACCCTGCAAGACACTGGCACAGGAATAGAATTCTTAGAAAAGACCTCAGAGATATAGGCAGTCAAAGACAAAATTAATAAATGGGATTATATCAAAGTGAGAGTTCTCTGTGTGGCAAAAGAAACACCCAGGAAATTGAAGAGACATCTGACAGAATGTGCAAAATATTTGAAGCTAAGCAACTGATATGGATTAATAACCAGAATCCACAAAGAGATTAAGAAATTCCAAACAACAAAAACAACTGAGTTAAGAGATGGGCCAAGAACTCAGACATTTTTTAAAAGAGGAAGTCCAAATGGCCAACAGACACATGAAACAAAATTCCGGATCACTAACCATCAGGGCAATGCGAATCCATCATGCAGTACCCCATAGGGAGGTGTATGGAGCAAAAAGGTTTATTGATCTCACAGCTGTAGAGGCTGGAAGTCCAGGATCAGACAGTCAGCCATCCTAATATTGTGAACACCATGGCAGTCTTCAGGCATCCTAATATTGTGAACACGGATGGGAGGGACCCCATCCCCACACAGGACTTCAGATGAGACCAGGGCTGACTCTAGCAGCACTGTGCTCTGTGCTGAAGCTGGGGACCCAGGAGATCTACTGTGATCTCCTCCATAGCAGATTCCCCAGAAATGGACAAATCCCACTAGGCCTCACTCCCAGAGCTCCCTTCATTTCACCCATGGTCTCCCTGGGAGCACATCTAAACACAACGCCTTTAGGACACACTGAGCTGTGGTGGGATAGAAGGCCATGC